TTTTTTTTTTTTTTTTTTTTTTTTTTACCTTTTGATTTTGTAATTGTTGTTCTTCTCCTTCTCTGATCTTTGTGGTATAATTTGTTTTCGTTTTATATTTTGCAGTAATGAATGAGGAAAGTAGAAATTTATGCCATGTAGTTTGAAAATTTTCAGTCATATCCCTTAATAAAATATGGAAATTGTTAGATAAACCCAATGGAAATTGTTAGATAAACCCAACTTCTACAATGGTATGATATTGCTCTTGCTCGTTCACTTTGAGCATAAGCTCAAACTTCCTCAAAAGACCTCTTATCTATGAAAATAGTATTATTTAATTATAAAAACATGATCATTCTCTAAATTAGCCGATGCCCCTCTCGAACAAAGTACACCTCTCCTTTGAAAGGTAAACAATACACCATACTAAAACAAACCTAATTTTAAGAAATAGAAAATTTAAATAAAAACATTATCCAACGAACCAAAAGTGCGAAGAACATAATTTCATCATTCAAAATCTCAAAACTTAATAATATTTCGCAGTTGCCTTTCAAAATTTCCATTTCCCTTTCTATATTAACATTTGTTTCTCTAGCAATAGTAGCATAACCCCCTCCAATTTCTACCTTCCCTCACTCTAATCTCTATAATATTTCTTTCTTTGCAACCTCGGTAAGCTTTAATAAGCAAATCCGACACCAAATATGTATCCTTCGAATCATATTGAATATTTTTGTCAAATATTCAATATCTTGGTTTACCAACTACACGCATTGTCTAACCAAATCTAATTTTCTTAATAGGTTCCTCAAAAATCCGATTCTTCCCCCAACTAAAGAAGAGATCTGGTTGCCACGTATGAGATTGAGCACAATTTTGCAAAGAAATAGCCTAGGCCTACTTGTGGTGCTTACCTAGCCATTTCGTGATATTACATCTCTCTAAATTTTGCCCCAAACCTTTTCGTCTAGTTTGTGGCCTCGAAAAAAATTTCTATGGGATGGCATGTCTAACCTTTTCACATATATACGTGACCTTAAGGGGTTACTCAAAATAAACATATCTAACTATAAACTATACACAACTAAAGTTTAAGAAGCCACAAATCCTTCTTCCTAGCATAGGCTTTTATAAAAAAAAGAGGTATATCATCCAAATGCCAAGATTTTAAAGGTTTTTTCATGAATCCAATACCTTGCTGATGTCGACTACGCTAAGCGACCAACATAGCAACTGTTCATGCTGCCTTATCACTCAATTACAGCTCAGCCCTTAACCCTGCATCGAATCAAAATCGAATAGGTATTAAGCATTTCAGATTGACCACATCTTAACAAAGTACTAACCCAGGCTCTCTGAAGAGATGTCGGCCAGCACTAGACGAATAACTTGGGCAGCATATAAAACATTTGAAATCAGATTTTAATTTTTCCTTTTGGAAAATTCAAAGCAAATATATCAATAACAAAACAGAAAATCGGCTAGAAATGTGAACTCAATTCCTTTTAACTCAAATCATCTATCATCTCTTTGTCTTCAGCCATTATAATTTCCATGTCTCTAACATCTCGCTTTAAAACAGTTCCAAGTCTAGCAATGGCCTCAGTCTGCTGCTGCAATACCTGCCACTCGACATGTAGATGATGTTGGTTAATAAATCAGACAATAAAATAACTGCATTTAACAAAATTCTCACTAACAAATAATTATACCACTTTTTTCTTTTATTTTTGAAAGACTGTCAACACAATTTAGGTAAGCCTCATTATGTTTATTTTCAGCAAAACTTCGAGTGAAAAAGCAGACTCCAAACACATATACGCACCTCCTGCATATCAGCAAGACTCTGTTCATGTATTTTTGTCGAACCTTGAAGATAGATAGAATTACCAGCACCAGAGCCATTTGCTTGACCACAAGTAATTGTAAGCAAATTTTTCACCCTCCTCGAAAGCTCTGCTCCAGATCCTCTCAACTGAAACATGTCCAAGAATCTCATTACGATAAACAACTTTTTGGGTAAGTAACATATTTTCCCCTAGTTAAAATTTTAATTCTAGTTTATCCCCCCATTGACTTGATAAAGAAGAAGACAACTTGCCCTCCTACATGGAAAATAAGTTCATTTTTAAGGTATATTATAATGGTAGACAATAATATCATATTATAGTAAACATTAAAAGGCAATAAAAGATAATGTAAATACGATGTTCTTTAGAAAGAAAAATTAAAGCACTGATTCTAAAATTTCAGTCTGTTTCTTTTTGCAGAATGATAATTGAAAATTTTATCAAGTTATTTAAATTTTGCAATAATTTACATGTTTAACAATGAGGATAAAGTTGAATTTGATTCAACTATGGAAATGCGCTGCGAATTCCCTGCATGGATATTTTCAGTTTTTGAAATTGAGGTAAAAGGGGGGGAAGGATACCTACCTGTCTTGTTATCAAAGCTAACCTCTCAGCCAATTCAGCCTCCCCTGTCATTATAGGCACTCGGCAACCCTTACTTTCTAGCGCCTCCACGACTCTCATCATCTTTAATCGAACAAAAGGGAAAATATAAAATAGAAGCACTTTGGCATCAGTAGCATTATGAACATTTTGTGTGTGCGTGTGTGTTGGGTGGGGCGGAGGGAAGGAAAACATGAAGATCACATCCTTATCATTCTTTTTTCTTTTTGGCCCACTGATTATAAAAAATAATACATACTCTCAAAAGACGCCTTTGAAGACCTTGCTCCTTCTGTTTCAATCTTTGGATCCAAGGTAGAGTATCAGCTAGAAAATGCCTCTGAAGCTGTATAAATCAATTGTCAATTAAAAAAAAGAAATTAAAAAAATTTATCCTCAAGGAAGCATCAGATTACCGTTTTGACATTGCTTTGGGTCATCCGCAGTCTCTCAGCATCAGAAAGAATGACTTCATCTTGAATCTGTATTAACCCCAGAAGTGTCAGTGCAACAAACCAGGCTGCTTCACTCAGCAAACACGAGGACGTGTGAAAAGGATAATACACTTAAAATGGGTTGCACAAATATTACTCTTTTAAGATATTTTCAGATGTTAAAAATATTTTTATAAACAGTGACAGAAACAAAACAGATTCAGTATTTGACAACTTTTAAGAACATTTCAATTGGAATAAAAAACTTTCACAAGGCATGCTGGAAGCACACGCAGAAGCTAATATGGCACAGCACTTTCAGCACACGCAATATTGATATACCATGGATATTTCCAATTTACATATGCCCTGCAACTTGAACATAAAGATAATCGTACTTATCCAAGAACATACTAATAATCTTGAATGGAAACAAAAAACCAGTCACTAAGCTATTGCATTTGTTCCACCAACATTGATGGATTAAATAAACATAATTGGCATCCTATCAAACATAACTTGTGTTTTCCTACTTAACAGTTTTGAATGTCAATTACACAAGGACCAGAACTTGTCACAACAATTAACATCCAAAAGGGATAGATACAGTACAGGCACAACGGAGGCAATACCTTAGCGACATTTTGAATCTTACTGATATTTATGAGGAAAAAGTTATATATAAGCACATTAGGACAATCTTGCTTGCTATTAGAATTTTATTTTTGAATAATGCTTACACTTTAATGTGTACGGTTATCATGAATTTAATTTTTTTCACTATAACCGAAAGTATAAATTTACTTTAAAGAAAATGAAATCTTGTGTATTTAAATAAACTATAAAATTTTAGGTCAAGTTTAGCCATTCAGTAAGTCCAAACATGATTATCTTAAATAAGTTTTATTTATGTTAAAGGTTATCAAAATAATTTTTTAAGGGAACGTATAATCATCGAACTATATATTTATTTCAAACCTATCGTTTTTCTTAATTAATCATTGAGTTCGAAATAAAATGAATCCTTAATACAGTGAAAAAGGTGAACTAGAAATATAATTGCATCCATCAGTACAATCTCTCAGATGTAACTTTGGATCAGCCACCTTAAGAACCCTAAGTATCTAATCAGATCCATGACGCAGGTTCAAATTTATATGTATATGGTTAACATTGCTTAAGAACACGCCTGCAAATCCATCATCGTTGATGGAAATAACTACAAAA